ACTTCAATAACATTTCGTTGGACAATGAATCGATCACTTGTATGTCATATTGATTGCTTGTTTGTGTGACTGTGAAATGCTTTGTTGAAATTTGTTTTTTTGTTTAAATTTTTTAGCCGGCTATTTCATATTTAACATCAATGGATAAATATGCAATAATGTGCATATTTCATCTTGTTATTCTTTGCATATGGCATGCAATACTCGGTAGTCTCATATATCTATTAATACCTGATTTACGTGTAACAAATGATATGTGGCTTGCATATATAGATCAATGGGTTTTTATGATTGCAATTAATATTTTTGTTATTATTCATATTATACTCTTGATATGGCTTTATTTAGTTCCACTGAAACATCGTCGAGAAATGGCAAAAAAAGATCTTGAATATCAACAATCAATGTCCAAAGAAAAGAAAATCTTGAATTATACACTTTTATCTATATGAGAGAATTTCTATTGATATTTTTGTTTGGTGTTTTATTAATCATTATGGCTAAAGAAGAAGAGAGAATATGTATTGCATAGAACAAGTAAGAAAAAGAGAAATGGGGTTAAAAAAGAAAAAAATCATAAATATATTTATGTCCAGATATGAAGATTTTGTAATGAATACGTCATTATGCTTCATCTTCCTTGTGTTCTTTGGCTGATTTAAGTTGAACTTGATCACGATAATTTATTTTGTCATCTTCCTTTTGTTCTTCTTTAAGAGCAAATTTATTTGTTGATTGTTTTAAGTTGGCCATATTAATAAAATTAGGTTCTTCTTCTTTCGGTTTCTTTATCTTGTTCAACCTTTTTTTTTAAATTGTGTTTTATGAAAATAAAACAATTCATTGAGAAAATTTTTTAAAACTTACTTTTGTTCAGTTTTTGAGACTTTCTTAAGTGATGGTTTAACAAATTTACCTTTGATATCATTGATTTTAATTGTTAATTCATTGATCTAGAAGAAAATATTATAGTTTTTAAATAATTTTTATTCATTCTTACATCATAATCATGTTTACGAATTTTAAATTCAAGATCATAATGACTATCTTCATTTGTTTTTAATTGATGATGAAGATCTTCACAAAGTGCTTTAAGTTGAGCTAAAAGACAAGTTTGTTTTTTTCTTTTAATTTCGAAAAACTACACTTGTAAATAATTACCATCACTCATTGAATTAAGATCACCAAGTGGTTTTAAATGTTGTTCAATATAATTTTTACGTGCTTCTAAACGACGTTGTTGTTCACCTTTAAGATTTTCTGTGGCCATTTTCATGATTAAAAGCTAAAAAGAGAACAAACAAACAAATTTCATATATTAAATTTATTCAAGATAATATAATACAAACACGAAGTTTACGCTTCTTTTCAGGTGTTAAACCAAAACGTTTCTTCTTTTCAGCTGCATCACGAGCTTCTTGACGTTTACGTTCTCGATCAGCCTTCTTGCGAGCTTTTTTTTCTTCATCGGTGAGTGATCGTTCCTAGTAAAAAAAATATTTATTTTATATCTTGAAAATAATTCTTTTTTGTGTATGACATGCATTAAGTTTCAACATACCGTGCTAATGTAACATGAAAATCTTTATTATATTTGAGAATATACATAGTTTGATATGTGATAATATATTTGAATAGCATGCAAGAAGTTCTTGTGATATTTATTAAAACCAATTTTAGCATTGTACAGCAAACAATAAATTAGCTTTTTTTCTTTATATTCATGAGTATTGATATTATAAAATTTTAATGTAGACATACATGTATATATATAATATCAAGGACAAATTTCTGATGTTATAAAAAAAAAGGAAACCCTTTCTTTTTGTTAAGTTATTATCATGCAAGTCGAGCTGATGATCCATAGAGTCTTTATATACGTGCAAAAGAAGATAACATGCGAATTGATTACCAAATAATGATTCCATGCATAATATTCAATCGAGTTCAATAAGTTATATTTTTATATAGATGAAACAGTTGGATTTATTTTGGTTTATTACCTCGTCAGCCATCGTTTTTGTTTAACTATTAGTTGGTTTGTCGACTTGGTTTCTGTCCTTCGTTGATCTTGTAAAGAAGCAAAAGCAAGACAGACGTTGGATGATGAGGATGTTACTACTAAACACTTATTCTTTTTCTTTTCTTGGTTATATCAATCCATGTATAGGCCACAAACAGAACAAGGAAGAGGCTAAAATATAGAGGGAAAAATACGATACTTCTATCTTGTTCCTAAAATATCTGTTTATACGATTCTATGAAGAAGTTATGCAAAAAAAAGAAAGAGAAATAGGAGTCCCGTTACAAGTTTTGTACGAATGCGTATGTATGTATGTGTGCTTATATGGGATATTGACGGCAAACCAGAAAGCTCGTTATTGTTTCCTTTCGTCCCAAACATTTATGTGCATCAGTACGTATATGTGGATACATATGGATATGGAAATAGTAGAAAAGAGAAAGAGGAATAGACCACTATTTTTATCTATTCTCATTCTTTTTCTACGATGATAGATTACATAAAGAATTTTTCCACCAAAATATTAATCTAAACTACAGATATAAATATCAAAAACAAAAAAAAACACACTCAATAATCTTTTTTTTTTTTGTTGTTTGCATTTTTTATATTTATTTTTTCCAATACAAACTCATCGAAGTGCTGTATGAAAAGTTTCCATGTTGTAATTATCAAAACAAACTTAACGAATGAGTCAATAAATATTCGATATATCTTATTCGACTTGCAATAAAAATATTTATTGTACATAACAATTGTATCATAATGCTTTTATAAACAAGTTTGAAATAAATAAATAAAAAAAAAGGTTGAAACTATTATAAATGATTTTTATTTGGTTCTACTATAGATAAAACTAACAAAAACCAAATTGTTTACAAGTAAATTTTTATTCTTCTTAATGATGATATTCGTTTTTTAATTGTTTTAAGTTGAATGAATTTTCGATATGTAACTTTATTTTCATTTTCATGTTCGTCTTTTAAAACGAATTCATTTGTTGATTGTTTAATTTCTTCGTCTTTTGTTTTTTGTAATTTTTATATTCGAAATTAATTTCAATTCTCGTTTAAAATAATTTTTTCTAATGTTATATAGTTACTGATACTTTTTCTGATATTCTTTTAATACATTTATCTGTAATATCATCAACTTTAATAGGTAATTCATTAGTTTAAGTGAAACAAACAAAACAAACATTCTATTTTCCTTTTTCTGTTGATATTTTAAATTAATTTAATATACTTTATTAACTTGTTTATGATTTTGCATTTCAAGATCATACCATTATTCTTCAGTACCGATTGATTGGTGACGAAATTCTTTGAACTAATGAAACAAGATATGTGTCATTCCATGAAGTTAACTTATTAGGATAGGTTTTAACATATTCTTCGATGTAATTTTTATTTTCAGCTACACATTGTTCAACAGTATTTTAGAAATTTTCTTTCTGTCGTCTCCATGATAAAATCCGAAATATTTTAATCGAAATATATTTAATAAACTTATTTGAAGAAAAAAACAACTCGAAGTTTATGCTGCTTTTCAGGTGTTAAAGCAAAGTTTTTCTTTTTTTTTAGCTGCGTCACAAACATCTTGGCAATTACACGTGGGATCAGCTTTCTTTCGAGTTCTTCTTTCTTCTTCCGTTGATTGATGTTCCTAAAATTAACGAAAATATATTTTATACAATCAAAAACTAAATCTAATAATATCGCTGATAGAGGTATGACACCATGGTTAAGTGACTACGTTGTTCAATACGTATTCACAAGGCAACATGTTCAAACTACAATACTATCAGTCGTAGAATGATCCTGGACAAGCCACTACGGGCTATTCAATCATGTAGAATACGTTATGATATACATCTGCTCCCGTAGCTAGTATATGGTTAGTGAGTATGTATGGAGAACTCCCGCAATAAAGCGTAAGAATTCTTCGTCAGATAGACCTAACGTAATCGTAGCTGAAAGGCGAGAGTATTTTTGTTTCTTCCTTTCGATAGAGTTTTTTTTGTATAAGTTATTTTCATAGAATGTGTCTTGAAAATTTACGAAAGATATTATTAGTTCCTATGAATAATTCAAATTTGTTGATTTGAAGTTGTTTTATTAGCACGAGCTCAAATTTGAAAAAGAAGAAACAGTTCTGAGCGTTTTGTTAGAGCCTATGAAATCTGCTAATATGGCGTTTCGTTTATGAGAGAATGAATTTTTGACTATTAGATACTGTTTAATTCCATATTCCTTTTTTTGATATGAGTAAATATTATAGGTAGCAAGCGATCGTCTACAAAGAGAGACAAATATATTATCCATCTCATTCGACATCTTATTTTTTTTTTCTTACTCGGTATTAAAGCAATAGTCTGAAATTTATAGAAATTTTCACGAATAATCAATTCTGATGCCAGTAATAACTAATCAGCACAACACCCTAAACTACCATAACGCGACGAGAAAATAGTACCATACATTCGATTCCAGGCGGCAAGGAGATAGAATGCAATGCATTGAAAGTGGCGGTGTGGGTGTGGATGAAGAGTAAATCTGAATTGATTGACATCCAAATCTAGATACACATACCCGTCCTGTCTAGATCTTAAATAGAGTCAAGAGTGAATCCGAATAGGATTCTACATTCTCAATTCAGAAAACTATCTTAGTAGAAACTTGAGCAACTTCCGATAAGGATTCTGTTTAACTCTGAGAAATATACTCTAGAATTTGAGACGTGATTCTTTCAGTACTTCTCAAAGAATGAACCAATTTGAGAATATGGAAGTGGTATAAATGAATGAATCGGTACGGAATTTTTTTTCACAAGAAACTTAAAAAAAGGTTTCTGAATGTTTATCCGCAAGAGAAATTTTTGAACGATATGTAGAAAACTATTTCAGTTTAGAGTATATTCGAAAAGGACTTCTTGAGTACTATCAAAGATATTTTCGAAAGTTATAGTAAGTTTTCACAATGAAGAAGTTTTCATTTGTAGCATTTTATCGCAGAAGAGCGAGATTTCTTTGACAACGATGATTTCGTTTTTTTTATTCATCGTAGTCATTCAAAATATTCAAGCGAATGCTTCATCGACACAGAATGGAATGATCGTTGCTGGAAGCCATGGAAATGACAATGATACCAATTAACTCAGCTGCTTCATGTGTCTCTGTGTAGATGATGATCAAAGGATGGTTATTGCTGACTTCTTAAATCATCGTATTATTCAATGGAAGATGGATGATACAAATGGTCACATGGTAGCGGGTGATAATGATGAAGGAAACTGATTGAATCACTTGAAAGGACCAACTTATGTCACAATCGACAAAGAGATTGATTGCCTCATTATCTACGAAGGAGTGAATGAACAAGTCACACGTTGGTCTCATCGTAATGGTACAACTCAAGGAAAAATTCTCCT